AGTATGTGCTGATGAATTCTGCCGCGTCGATCTCTTGAGCGGTCACCTCTGTGAATGACAACACAGTGGAGCACCGGAAGGCGTAGAGTGGTGGGTAACTTTGTACATAACGTTACTCTTTGCATTTGGCTCGAGGTACTAGACCTCGCTGGTGGCAACCCTATTTGTGCTACTAGTAGCGTTACCAGTGCACGAACTTTCGCCGTCCTCGCCGGCGTCTCGCTCGAGGCCCGCATCGCGCCGAGCACCCTCGTCGTCGTCGTCGTCGTCGGTGGCCAGCGTGAAGAGGCGCAAATCTTGAAACTTGAGCACCTACGCTTCCGTCCATCAGAGCCGTTGCAACAAGTGTCAGCGCAACCTCGTTGCCGACCGAGGTCCAGTGCGGTCGAAGTTCGCGGGCAAAAAGCTCGAGCTTAGGCGAGTTCGATGGCACAAGACTCGGCGGGAAGAGGTGGTCGATCGGCGGCTTCCACGAGTGGCGCAGTGGCACACTCACGAGCGTCTGCTCGGGCAGCGCGCGGAAGGCGTCGCAAAAGGCCGCGGGGCCTCGCGCGGCCACGACCAGACGCTCAAACGGCAACCGGTGTGTCGACGCGAGCGGCGTCACGGGCTCGCCCGTCGTCGCCACTTTGAGCCACGTCCAGACGGCGAGCGGGCACGACGAGTCCATGCGCATCGCCGGCAGGAGCGCGTCGAGGAGGAACGTCATGTACGCCGGCTTGTTGGTGACCCAGATCGCAACGATGCAGCCGGCCGGGTCCATGGACGCAGAGAGCATTGCCGCCAGCGGAAGCAAGTTGGCTTCGTGCATGGTGGCGTACGTGCCATTGCGGGCGACGCTCTTGTTGTCCCACGGCGGGTCGATCACGACGAGGCGGAAAGGACCCGGCAAGTCTGCCGCCGTGAGCTTCCGAACGTCACCGAGAAAGTACGTAGCTTGGCGCGGCAAGAGGAACTGGTGGCCGTCCTGCATGACGAGGCCATCGTCGTCCGAGTCGTTGGCGACGATGCTCTCCGAGGCGGTCAGCATCTGCACCATTGGCTCAATGCGCTCGACGATAGACATCGTTAGCGGCGTGGCCTGGGCGACAACGGCGTCGAGGACAAGCAAGCGCGCCTCCTCCAAGTGGGCAAGCAGCGCGGGTGCCGGCGGCTCGGGGTTGTGCGACGACGCCGCTTTCGATCGCTTGCGCTTCTTGGACGCCGACGCCCGGGCATAAGGCTCGACCGGAGCGCGGAGACTCTGCAGCGAGACGCGCATGCTGGTGTAATAGGCGTTGACACACGCGAGATGGTCGACGGCGACGACCTCCCGCATGGTGCAATGCTACCTTTTAAAAGTAAGAATCGGATAATTGCTGGTTTGGGACCTGGACCACTCAGTTTATTGCGCCAAGTACGTTCATGGCAGCTGGTGACGGCGGATGGATCGGATCGGACCATGGTCCCGTCCTCTCAGTGACCAAGGCCCGAAGATTTTTGCGAAGGCTCACGACTGGAAGAGTTTGCGTCGAATCACCGGCCTATGAGACATCCATCAATGAGGAAAGCCCAGGGATTAGCAGCTAAACGGTACGCTTCATGGATTCGCTAAAGAGTAACTTTGGAAAAGAGCACCACGACGTTTGTTTTGAGACATATTACGCAAGAGGGCGATACAAGTAAGTGGCGCTTGACGAGTTAGACCTTGCGGAGGTAGCCACCAGTAGCACCGGTGTTCCAGCCGCCGCCGCCGCCACCAGAGTTCCAGCCGCCGCCGCCG